ATCCAGTATTGACTGCCCTCATTCGAGCCAGGTTCATGAGTAGTAGCTCATCACTAATAGAATGAGGTCTCTCAGCCCACTCGGGAGGGTTCCAAGACTGAGACAGGCGGGGTGGGAGCTCAAGTACCCGGGGCCCACAATCAGTTTATCAATGTAATGCTGGTCAGAGAAAAGCGGCTCGGGGCGGGGGGGGGGAGGGGAGGTGAGGTGAGACAAGTGCCTCGAGACGCGGGGGGCAACCTCCGGGTGGCGGGGAGTCGACATGCTACTTGTCACACCATGAGTTTGCTCGGGAGGACGCGCATTATTGCGCAGGTCTGGAGGTCGCTGGCTGTCCTGCAGGACGGAACGTGATCGGTTACCATGGCATACCGTTCATCGCTTGCTTTTGCCAACAGACGAGCAATTCCAGCTAGTCATCAGATCACGCCAATCAGCGACAGCTGTACGACGATCCGATCCATCCGTACAACAATCACGTGGGCGGTGTGAACGAGGGGCCCAGATTGCGCGCCTTGACGGTACTTTTTGCACCGCAATCGGAGGTGAAATCCGATGCGGTTCAAAATGGTCCAGCAAACTTCTACGCTTGATGGCACGCTCACGGGCGCCGGGCGCCGCATCGACATCTCGACCATTGACCGCACATGCTCGAGCACAGCCTCCATCCCACTCGCCCTGCACTACACGACGCGGGTCCATGTTGCGAACCACGACCGCGACGGCCACCGTTGCCACCATGGCCGCCTCCGCAGCCGCCCTCTACACCCTCTACGCACTGCGAGCCACCCGTCGGACCACCACGTCGACGGCGTCCACCTCGACGCCCTCCCATCGGTACACCCGTGCCCAGTTCGCGGAACTTACTCTGCGACCCATCCATGTCTATCTCCGCTTCCATGTCCTCGACTCGCCGGCCGATGCCAACGAGCCCATCGCCATGACCTCGGCCACTACCTTTGCCAACGTCACAGACTCGCCCATACACTCGCTTGCTCTCAATGCTACCAATCTGGGTGTTGATCGTGTCGCCATCGTCTCGCGCGAGCTGCCCAAGCTGACCATTCCGCCCATCGTGCCAGCCAAGTCGGACTTGCTCGCCATCGGCGCCGCTCTCGATGTCGCCCTGGACGTACATGCCGCCGTGCCGAACCCGGCTGAAGACGCGCTCGTCGACTGCGCGTACGCGCTTGCTGACAACATGCTCAACGTCAAGCTGCCGCAGCCGCTGGCGCCCGGCGAGCAGCTCACCCTCGCCGTCTACAACTCGGCTCGCATTCGCGACGGCCTGCTCGAGGGCATCTACAAGGACTACACCCCCGACGCCGCGCCGCAGACCCTCATCAGTCAGTGCCAGCAGTGGGGCTTCCAGCGGATTGTACCGGCCGTCGACGACAACCGCGCCAAGGCCTACTACACCGTTACCATCGACGCGCCCAACACCTACTCCCGCCTGCTTTCAAACGGCGATCCCGCCCCGGGCTTTGCTACCCCGCAGCCGCACCCATCGCTGGACGGCATGCAGCGGATGCGCTACCACAACCACGCCACAAACATGCCGCCGTATCTGTTCTTCTTTGGCGTCGGCTCGTACACCACTCACTCCTCGCTCATCGAGTATCCCGACGGCCGGACCGTCGACCTGGAGCTCATTGTGCCATCCGACGGCCTCATTGCTCGCGACGACTGCCTCGCTGCCCTGGCCTCGCTCAAGTCTGCCATGATGTGGACTCACCTCTCCACCGGCCCGCAGGCCTTTGTCAAGGCCGCTCAACGCGAGGAGCTGTACGCCCTAGTCGCAGCCCGCGACGCCGCTGATGCAAAAGGCGACGCCCCGCCGCCGCCGCCGCCCGCAACCAGCTTGCCGCCGCCGCCGCTGCCTTTGGGCAGCTCGGCCATGCCTTTGACGGCGCCGTCATGCGCGAGCTCGCCATGGTCAACTCTATGTTTGGCGGCATGGAGAACCGGACCGTGACCACCATTCTGGCCTCGGTCATTGCCCCATCACCGTACGTCACCGACCCCGCCTACGAGTACCTCGAGGGCGTCAAGGCCCACGAGTTCTACCACGACCTCAATGGCTCGCGGGTCACCGGCGCCACTCCATTTGAGCTCTGGCTCAACGAGGCCGTCACCGTCCACATCGAGCGCATGTACCTGAGCCACCTCTTTGGCCACGACTATGTCCGACTCAAGGAGGTGACCTACGCCACCCGCCCGGGCTCCGGCCCGCTTGCAAACGACGCATCTGCACTCTCCATGCCGATTGAGCCATCAGGCTTCAACCGCCCGGACGAGCTCATCTCGTCTGTCACTTACTTTAAGGGTCCAGAGTTTGTGCGCATGGTCGAGTCTCTCGTCGGCCCCGACGCTTTCATGCGCGGCCTCGACGCCTACTACCGCAAGTATGCCCACGCCAACGCCACCACCGCCGACTGGGTCGCCACCCTCTCCGAGTCGACCGGCCTCGATCTCGGCCCCATGGCAGATGGCTGGCTCAAGCGCCCGGGCCATCCCACCCTCCACGTCGCTGCTCCGGCCTGGGACCCTGCCACTGGCGCATACTCGGTCCAGCTGCGCCAGTCCGGCTTTGGCACCGGCGCCCCGTGGATTTTCCCGGTTGCCTGGGCCGCCATGGCTGATGACGGTAGCCAGCTTGCCCGCGGAACAACCGTTGTCGACGCCAAGTCTGCCGCCATCGAGGTCTCGGGCCTCGCTGTCAAGCCGGCCTACATCTCGATCGCACGGGGCTTCTCGTTCTTTGGACGGCTCGACGTCGCCGAGTCCAGCCCCGAGCTTGACGCACTGCAGGCGCGTACCGACACCGACGTTGTCGCGCGGTACTTTGCCTACCGGCGGCTGGTCGACCGAACCAAGGCAGCGTACATCGACGCGCGGCTGAGCGGTAGCGACGCCGCCTTTGTCGTGCCGGAAGCCGTGACTGCCGCCTTTACTGCCGTCCTGGCCGACACTTTGCTCTCGAGCGCGTGCAAGGCCCGCTTTCTGGCCGAGCCGTCGGCGCTGGAGACGGCCACCCACCTCAACGTCCACTACGACCTTCTTGACGATGCCAAGAACGCCGTCTACACCGCCGTCTACGACGCTGCAGGCCCGGAGGTGTGGGCAGCATTCGACGCTGGCCTCGCCGGCGCCATCGACTCGCGGCCGGTGCTCGAGTCCGGCAATTCCAAGCTCGACGCGTTCCGGCGCGAGGTGCCAGGCCGGAGCCTGGCAACCACTCTGGCCGATGTCCTTGTTGCTGCCCTCGGCAAGGACCCACCGCCGATGATGACTAGCGGCTGCTCTTCCGCCCGCGACCTCGCCGAGGTCGGCCGGGAGCTTTGGGCGTCGGGAGCCGACCGAGCCATGTCGCTCCGCAAGCTCGGCGCCAAGCTTGTCCTTAACTCGCGGGCGAGCGCCGACGACAAGGCCGCCTTCCGAGCACAGATGCGGGAAGCTTGGGCCTCGCATCCGGATGGCTTTGAGCAGTTCCTCTGGGTCATGACCTCCATCGACTCGCCCGACGCCGCCGCCGCCCTCCGCGCCGTCGTCGACCACGACGAGCTCATCGACCTGGTCCAGGCCTCCCAGGCCCGCGCCCTTGTCCGTGGCTGGTCCGCCGCTCGCCGCTGGTCGCTCCTCACTCACGACGGCCTCGCCCTCCTCGAAGACATCTTTGTCGCCGTCGCCAACATCAACGAGTACTTTGCCTCGGGCGTCCTCTCGGCCTTTTCCGACCTCCCGCAGATGACCGGCAAGCACAAGGCCCGCCTGATCGCCGCCCTCCAGCGCATGCAGGCACGCCTGAGCAAGGACCACCAGTTTGGCCTCTGGTCCGCTATCCAGCGCCAGCTCGACGCCGCCGCCACCGCCGCCGACCCATCGTGCTAGCTTGCGCACGCAAGCCTTGGCAATGCCCACATCTACCCGAAAAATAAGGGCCGAGTGGCATGGATGGCAGGACTTTCTGTCGCCCCCCCCCCCT